GGCCTGCCTACCAGTTCCTGGAATGTTCTGTCATCGTGAGAATTGCTTGTTAGAACTGCCTTGGCAGTTCTTCTCGGTGGTTTGCCTGAAAAGAATAAAGACTCTTCCCGGAAAAGAAACAGCCTTCTTTTCCATCTAGGGACAGACAGACAGACCAGCAGCCAGGCCCCAGCCACATCAGTCCCGTGACCCTGGGCCGAGGCCTGTGCAGTGCGGACAGGACTACGGACAGGATTCCGTGGGAGACCACGGAAACTTCAATGCAAAGCAGACCTGCAGGCTCCGAGCCCACGGACATGGTCCCCCGGGCATGGACGTCGGCAGAGCCTTTAGGAGACAGGGACGCGGCTCACACAGCCGCGTGGGGACATTTTTCAGGACGTCTTCGTTCCCTTGATTCCGCTTTGCGGTTCTGACACGGAAGCCTTTGGGAGGCCGGGAACCTTTCCGAAACAATGTGCAGGGCTTAGTTTCAGGGGTAGAACTTGCTTCTGATTTTCAAAGTGCTCTTTGACCTCCATCACCCACCAAAAAGGTAGAGATCAGGGTCTTTATGCCAGGAGGTGTCGGCAGCAGCTCTGAAACTCTCCGACCAAGTGCACTTTAGCCCACACACTCGCCGTGCTCCTCTGTGCCCAGGACGGACTGCGGGGCGTGACGGGGAGCCGGGAAGAAGTGTACAACCTGGGCCCTGGTTCCGGACACCCTTTGGGTAGATGGGGTGATGGAACGTTGAGGGAGTGGATTGGACCACCCTGAAATGTCTCAAATTTGTGGGAAGGGGCCCGCCCAGCGTCCCAGGCTGATGGCCCGTGTGGCCATAATGCTATAAAGGAACTGGATCCTGGGACCTCGGCTGGAACCGACAAGTGTCTCGGAGAGTGCGGCTCGCGCCTCTCCAGGTTCTCAGGGGACACCAGGCAGTGCCCAGTGCGTGGACACCCTCTGACACCGAGCAGGGCAGGGCTCTTCCATTCGTTCCAGAACATGCAGGGAAAGTCGGTCTGGTCCTAGGGTGCCTGAACACTTTCAGACCCCCAGCTGATACCCCTTTTGCCAAAGGGGAGCAGGCGGGGCTCTGTGCGCGGCTGGAGTGCAGTAGCTGGGGTTTGTTTTATCGTATTTGTTTGCACAGTTAGTATCTGTTTACGGCAAGGGATATTGGTTTCTATCTACAGCAGCCACAGGAAGTTTCCTGGGTTCAATTACTTTAACTCTGAACGTTGAGCCGTTTAAAGATGTGGTGACTCTTAAGCATGAGGATGCAGAAAGTAGTAGTGGAAAGGATCGCTGCAGCTTACCGTGAGGCGCCCGCTGCGCGCCCCAGAGCTGTCGGCGTTTCACGGGCGTTTCTGCATCTAACCTCCACAGAAACCCTCTGACGTGGGGGCTTCTCTTCCGACCGCCCTTTTAGAGACTGCAGACCGGAGCCCAGAGAGCTTGACACGTCCCCAGGTCACGTGTTAACAAGCTTTTGGGAAGGGAGTCCGCGGTCCGGGAGTACGGGAGTACGAGGGCAGGCTGAACGGGCGCCTGCGCGGGGAGGTGGGCGGGGAAAGCTGAGATCCGACCACGGTTAGGGAGCGTCTGCTCCTGCGCAGACCGCAGACCCGGCGAGGCCGCAGCACGCAGGCGGGCGGGGACTTCGGGGATGAGCTGGCCCCCGATGGTGGCTTTCTCCGGAGGCAGGTGTGGGGCCTCAGAGAGCTCACTCTGCTCTCGGCCCCCGAAAATGGTGTAAGGTTCTGGGGTGACAATCAAAGCAAGTAAGCCAAGGTCCTGCAGGTGCCCGAGGGCTGAGAGTTGGGACTGAGAGAAGTTGGCAAAATGCAAACTCCTTTTTACCAGCGTGGCCGGGCCTGCTGTGCGTGTTACAGAAATGTCCTCTCCTTGCTGACTCAGGCCCCTGCACAGCGGCCTTTCCTCCTGATTGGGAGCCGACGCGGACCCCCAGTCGTTACTGACGTGGGGGTGAAGGAACCCTTCCTGCGTACCACCTCCGGTTAGGGGTTTACACATCCTTTACTTCTGCTCCTCCTTTTAGACTTCAGTTTGAGCACAGGTTTCTCAATATTTTTTTAAAAAGCAATTTTGACAGTAAAATTAGAAAGAAAAAATGTGTTTAATTAGAACCTGAAAGCTAGTGTTAAATTCAAGGGCAGCCTCTTCCTCGAGGTTATCACGTTCTCGCTTCTGGCTCTACTTCCTTCTTGCGCGGCAGGCCTTGCAGCGAGCGCGGGCCAGGAGGAGACCTGCGTGCGAACTCCCTCCCACGGTCTCTGCACGGCCCTTGGACATTTCGTTTCCTCCCCGGGGCCTCACTCACGTCCTCCCCTGGAGAGCTGGAATGGCATTGCTTCTCGGGTGGGTGCGCAGGTGAAGTGTGGTCACCCGCGCAGGTCCCCAGGAGCGCCAGCCGTCCATGCTGCCCCTCAGCCTGCGCGCCCTGCGCCCCCTGCACTGCGCCCCCTGCACTGCGCCCCGCACTCGGCTCGGAGTGGTGCTGGTCCTTTCTGCCGCGACCTCTTCATTTCTATGAGTTTCTATGGACAGCGTCCCTTGGTTATTAATCTGTATTTTTTCCTAGCTCTTCCCGTGTCCTCAGAGGTTGTTACATAACACTCCCTGCCTGCCTTACAGTTTAATGATCTTTTTTCTCATTATAAAAGTCACAGGACTTAGGATGCTTTGATAAAAATACAAATAAATACAGCACATAAGATAAGATATGGGGGAATGCCTTGTAGACTTAGGCTGGAATTATCTCAGCTCGTAAGTTTGTGGGAGAAAGGAATTCTAAACCTTATATTAATGGACACAGGTCCTGCATAAAGGTAGCAGCTGAAGAAACCATTCTCAACAAAAACTCTGTCCATTGCTGCCTCCCTCACCTTCAAAGTTTTGACTGTTTCACAGGTGTTTGTTCCAAAACTCCGTTCTCTGTCTACTGCCTGGAGGACAAGTGCAGACAGCCCCCCCACCCCGCCCCACTGGCTGCTCAGCGCCCCTGCAGGCGGCTCAGAAGACTAGAGACGCCGTGTGGGAGAGAACTTCTCCATCTAACCTGATTTGGGCTGTAATTTTAGTATCAAAGCAAATTGGCCAGAGTAGTCAAAGCAAAAGATAGAAGATCTGATTTAACCCAACAAATAAACAAATTGGACTGGTCCAAGAAGAAACCGAATGTGCAGGTAGACCTCTATCTAGTCTTCTGAGCCGCTGTCCGTCAGCACCCCAAAACTGGCCTTCACCCCCCACATTTAACTGCTCACACACCACCTGAAGAGCCATCATTTCCACAGCTACAAAGTGGCCGGGCCCACCCAGAGGGATGGGATCCCCGGGGAGCATGTGGGGAGGCGGGGTCGCAAGCAGGGAGTGTGGGCAGAGGCTCAGGTGTCCCTGCCGACACCCCCCTGCGGACAGCCCACCGCATCACGGCCTCCTGTCCTCTCATGGCTGCAGAGTCAGCCCCGAAGCTGCTTGCTCCACCGACACCAGCCACCCTGTCCCTTCAAGGGTGCATCCCTAAATGTCATGCCTACCTGAAGCTTTGGGCCGTAACCTTGCTGGGAAGGGAGGCCTGTGCAGAGGTGATCAGGTGAGGAGGAGGCCATGCCGGACCAGGGTGGACCCCTCTAATCACAGTGTCTTCATCAGAAGAGGGACATGTGGGGGTGTAGACACAGCAGTGGGGAGATGACACCAGAGATCAAGGGAAGAAAGGCATGTGATGTTGGAGGCAGACACGGCAGTGACGCATCTGTAAGCTGGGGGACCCCAAGAATTGCTGACATCCCCAGAAGCTGGGGGAGAAGCAGGCCTCCTCAGGGCCTGCAGAGGGGCCGAGTCCCCCAGCACCATGAGGCCAGACCCCTGGTGGCCAGGGGTCCCAGGAGGGTGGGAAGGAACCAGCTCTAACATCCAGGTGGCAGATGGGAGAGGGGGAGGCCCTGGGAGAGAGACTCGGACACCGCAGGGGTGTGCCGGGATGCAGGTAACATTGCTTGCCGACAGGTGAGAGGTGACAGCTACACGAAGTCAGCAGGAGAAGTGGAGTTGGCCCTTCAGGCCTCTTGGCTTCCAGGAAGGCCTTTCTTCCAAAGGCAGCTCTGCAGGCCTGCTGAGTGAGACGCTGTCTGGCTTACATCCTCCAAGAGCTGCTGGGCCACGGACGGCAGAAAAGCCCTGGAGGGGCCAGAGCAGAAACAGGCCGTTTGGGGGCCGTGGCCATGGGCGTGGCGAGCTGCAGTAGGCAGAGGAACCCGGAGGGCGCGGGAGGTTCCAAAGGCACAGCGGAGACTGGACGGGCGTCTGCCCGAGGGGGCTGTCCCGGGACCGGTGTGTTCCCTGGCCAGCCGCCCGGCAGGGCTGTCTTCGTCACCCCTGCGTCCTCCTCTCCTGCTGGGGGCCCGCTGCCAACGGGCCTCTCGAGAGCCCTCCTCAGTCCAGCGTCGGGGACTGTCTGGGACAGTGCCACCTCCCACCTGGGGCTGGGTGTGTGTCCCTGGTTGTGGGCGCCAAGAGGTGCCCTCCTCCATACCTGCTGCTCTGCCGAAGTCACGCCATGTCATGGGCTCTTATCTTCTTTAACTTCTGCTCTTACCTCTCGTTAACCATGCATGCATTATCTGATGTGTTTCAGCCGTAAATGTGCTTACCCGTACCGCACCGAATTTCAGCCTCGCATGTGGAAGAAAACACCGTGGGCGACAATGCACCAAGTCGCCCACCCGGGGATTGTCTCTTCTCCCTCCTGAGCAGTTTCAGGAACAATGTGTGGCACCTGTGATAAGCCGCCCCTCGCCAGGGAGGAGGGGCGTTGAGAGCCTGGTGCCAAAGTGTAAAAAGTACTAAATAAGGCACACATCCTGGTGATGCGCACGTGAATGTGTGCAAGCACCCCAAATGAAGATGAGATTGCCCAGCGACATAGCCATGATTCACAGCGTGCAAGATGACAGGCTTAACCATTTTGGGTTGATTTGCTTTGATTTCAGAATTACTATTTCTGAAGATGGTAGCCTCAGAATCATCAACGTGACGAAGGCCGACGCTGGGAGCTACACCTGTGTGGCCACCAACCACTTCGGCACCGCGAGCAGCACCGGGAACCTGGCGGTGAAAGGTACGTGCGCGCCCGCGCATGCGCACGGAGGTGCATCTCTAGTGACTGGCATGGGGTGGCGGCGCCGTCACGTGGGTATGCACGGACGCGGCACCGCTTAGGTCAGCACGCACAGGCGCCACTGTCAGCCGAGTGACTCCTTGAGGCCCCGAGGCCCCAGTGTGTGATTAACAGCCGCGAGCTAAGTGCAGGCCGCGGGCGCGATGGGAGGGCGGTCTTGTTCCGTAATCGTCCGGCCTGTTGCAGGTTTGTAACCGATGTCGTCGTCCTCGGCGGCCCTTTGGGCACATTTCTCTCCAGCCTCTGCAGATTCGAAATCCATGTCCAGAAACGCTGTGCTGACAAATTTAAAACCCGCGACTCGGATGCTATTTTCAGCAAACCGTGTTTCAGCCACGGCATTGACGATCTATGATGGCACCCCCGGTTCCTCGGAGCGATGGGGGTGGGTCATCGTGCTGGTACCTACGGGGCTTCGCTGGCCTCCCAGCCGACCGGTCACTTTTGAGGACCAGCGGTCTCCCGCGCCCCGCGTGTGTCCTGGCGCTCCCGGCTCAGCACGCGGTGGGAGTCTGCGCCCTGCACCCCGGGTGGGTGGGCGGGGCCGAGGCCCGGGAGGGGCGGGGCTTTCGTGTGCGCGTTGCTTGGTTTCTGTCACTTCGTTTCACCCTCCTCTCAGGACGTGTGAGTGAAGGGGTCTCGACGGTGACCTGAGTGAGGGTCACGCAGCCCCGGGTGGGACCTTCTGAGCGTTGCCAGCCGCGGAAGCGGAGGTTTGCCCAGGATCCCAGGGTCCGTGTTCTCCTTGGTTCTGCTGCTACGTGGGGTCGTCTTCACGCGCTTTCTTCCTTCTCTGCGCCAGGTGGTGGTGGCCACGTCGCACCCCCCTTCTTGTCACGTAGCGCCCCCTGTGAAGGAAGATAGCCCACTGCAGAGAAGAATGTCCAGAAGAGGATAGGGGCCGCAGTTTTAAGTTAAAGAGGAACATTGAGGGTCACCTGGTTACATGTGCGAGGGTTGTTGGAGAGCCCCTGCCGTTTGGGGAAGGCTTTCATCATATGCGCGGGCGCCCGTGCAGGTGCCCCCGGGAGCCCCGGGCTCGGATGCACATCTGTGTTCGCAACGCCTGCGGACACCTCGGCCCACAAATCGGCCCACCAATGGTTCCCTCTGAGTGGCAGCCCGCATGCTCGCCCCGCCTCGCAGGGCCAGGCAGGGGTAGGTGCGGCGACCTTTGTGAAACCCGCCTCAGGCGGGAGGTCTCCGCTCGAGTAGGCTCCTGAGCTGCCGAGCGAGGCCCCGGGGTCAGAGCTGGTCCAGGTCACCGAGTGCGCATTAGTTGCGGAGGTGGGAATGGAAACGGCCAGCAGTCCTCGGGGGCAGTAGAGGCGTGGGGCTCCCAGCTGGGGTGTCTGGCTCGGAAGCGCCTTTCTCCCATTTTACAGGCTCTGTGACCGTGGACAGGTGACCAGCCCTGGTGGGGCAGGGTAACAACGTGGGTGCAATGACTTGTGGTTGTAATGGGACATTTCACCTAAAATGCCCTGTGCTGTGCTTGAGTGAGATCATGTGTTATGTTACAGAACGACATGCTAGTGACTTTGTAGTGGAAGAGTTGGCGATGAAATGGGGGCATTATCTGTGCCCGACCCTGAGTCACTAGCTGTTACTGTTTTAATAAAATGGCAGTTCTTTCACCTCAAATCACAGCGAATCAGGTGTTTAGGAAACATCCTCTCCTGGCGTGTGAGACTCAGCGGAGGGAAGTGCACCTCGGAAAGAAACGGCTGAACTTAGAAAGCACGCGTGGACTTTTTCCACGCGGGAACAGGTGACATCCTGCCTTCAGTGATCACCCTCATCAGCCGACTCCCTCAGCTGCCAAGGGAGCGGGCAGAGAGGAAGTCCTGTTTCTGTCTGAGTCCGTGTCCCAGCCACCCCTGCAGCGCCCCCATCACGCAGCTGCTGCCAGCCACCCAGCCTCGCAGCCACGCAGCCTCGAAGCCTCGCAACCCCGCTGCATCACAGCCCTGCAGCCCCGTAGCTTCACACCATGCAGCCCCACAGTATCACAGCCTCGCACCCACGCAGCCCAGCGGCCTCATGGCCCAGCGGCGCCATGTGCGCAGCAGGTGCCGAATCCCGGCGCTGGGTGCCCGGTGATGAAACAGGCCACAGTCATCTCGTGCTTCCGGTGGGAAAAAAAGGTGCAAAGACAGTAGCTTGTACCTGTTTTAAGAAACAAAATACTTCATTTCTTACCTCCTTGTAAAGTGTAAACAGTGCTTCTCCAACAACACCGTGAGAGATCGTTATAGACAGTCTGTAGCTAAACTGGTTTTTTAAATAAATTTCTTTCAGTGTGCATTAGGAAAATGCTGGTTTTCCATTCATGGCAAGGATTTTTAAAAATCTCCTTTAAAAACATAGTTTAGTAAAGAAGGGAGTCAGTTTACAGAAAAGTGCTAAGTACACATTGTCACGAGAGGGTCTGCAGAGTCGTGAGGACAGTACATGACCATTGGGAAGCAGGACTTGGCAGCGACTTTCGATGACCTTTGGGAAGGACCTAGAGGGATGTGTGACTGGCCAGCCCACCCCACAGACGCTGGGCCCGTATTTGGCTGAGGCACTGGGACCACTTTGAGACTGAAATCTCCCAAAAGGAGGTAAAGGGAAGGGCTGAGCAGGTAGAGCCAGGTGGCTGTGCCAGCAGGTGGCAGAGGTGAGCAGGGACCAGCAGGGATGAGCCGGGATGTGGGGCATCCCGCCCCATGCACTCCGTCTGCCGGCTTCCCGGAAGAGTCCTCTGACTCTCACCTAGCTCCTCTGGACAAAAGGGGCAAAGAAAGACTGGGCTGTAGATGGTCAGGGTGCAAGCTGGGGAGGCCACCACCATGGGCAAGGTCACAGGCCTCGTCGAAGGGTGCAGGTCTCCCGGTACAGTGTCCTGACACCCATCGGCATGAAGGGGAAGGGCCTGTGGGGGTGCACTGGGAAATGCAGTTCAGAAACCTGCCCAGACAGCCGAGAGGCATGGAAACCACTGTGAGCCCCCGTGAACTATGCCATGCACAGACTCCTCGACTGGCTCATCAGTGTTTGAGCCCCGCCCCCCACGCAGGCAGAACAGCTTTTCCCCAAACAGGACCCGGTGCACGGTTTCAACCCGGTTTGGAAACCTGTAGAGGGACCCGCTTGTGCCAGAGAAGGTGATGCTGTGGAACCTGAGAAGGTGCTTGTGCATGTTTTCACCTCCCGGAACGTGTGGGGCGGAGTCGCGGCAAAGGTCAGCCGTCAGAAGACATCGCCTCTGATGCTTCTACAAGCCCAGTGCGCGCCCTCTCCACCCCGCCCCCACCATCGGGACAGAGGCTGAAGATAGTGTCAGCCACGGACGGCCGGGGAGGCCACGGGGAGCACTCGGGGGCAGCAGGGTGACAGCTGGTCTCTGGCAGGCGGCCACCAGATGGCGATGGTTCGGGCTCCGCCTGAGCGAGCCGGCTTCCAGACCACAGACCTCGACGGCCCTCTGGGGCTCTCGATTGTTGTCCAGTCCTAGGACTTCCTACCTTTCACTGATTTCATTTTTCAAGTTAGTTACTTGAGGTTTGGGTCCGACCCCCGAATCCTAACGCAGAGCATACCATCTGGCCTTGAAACGAAGATGGGCTTAGCAGTGATGGGTGCGGTGAGAACGGTGTGGAGGGCCCACCACACGCACGTGCAGCGCTGTCTGGTTATTTCACTTCTGTCTCTGGGTCAGAGCCGAGCAGCCGCTCTGCACAGCTGGGGTCCCGGCTCCACAGTCTTCCGTGACGGGCGGTCCTGGAGAAGGGGAGCTGAGAGCATGTGTCCTGGGTGTGGCTCAGCCAGTAACTGTGATGAGGGTCCCCCCTCCTATTGCTCGCCCACCTCCCCCACCCAAAAGTAAATGAAGGATGTTGAGTTATGGCTGCTGTTACCCTAGTTACCTTGCTGAACTTCATTCAAAATGTCCTCAACCTCATCTGCAGCTGATGGTACCTGACTGCACATGGAGGAGCCCTGTGCTGCCTCCAGGAACTCTGCTGAGCAAGTTCAAGTTCCATAGGGTGCCGAATAGAAACGCCGGTTTCCTAGGGTGCCCCTGCCCTAACACACCTGTGACCTGAACCAGGGGATGGGGAGACCTGGAAGATGCACATGTTTAATAAGCACCTTGTTGTCCTCCATTCACCCCCAGCCAAGTCTGAAAATGCTCCGTTTTTCAGGGGTTGGCAAACCACGGCTCGTGGGCCAAGTCCGGGTGGCCATCTGCTTTTGTGTAGCCCAGGGGCTATGAGGGCTGACTACATGTTTAACTGGTTGACAGGGAAATTTAAAAATAGAGTGTTTTTGGCATGAAATGTCTGAAATTCCTGTTTCAGTTCCGTATGTGCAGCCTTTGTGGGCCCAGCCCCGCCCCTGGCTCGCATGCTGGCTCCGTCCATTGCCTCTGCTGCAGGAGCAGAGTTGGCAGGGCAGAGACGGTGGAACACGCACGTCCCTACTCAGCCCCTTACCAGAAAAAGAAAATTAACCGATCCCTTCTTCTCATAAGCAGTTCCCTTCCCCAGAGAGACCCTCAAAGCGTGGTCCAAGGTGCAGCCCAGCCAGGCGCCCCCTTCCACGGCACCTAGGCCAGAGCTTCTCGTCCTGCTGAGTCCGACTGTGAGCGACTTCTGGCCCAGGACCTCTGCCTCACCCCAGCATCCGAGGGCTGACGTGAGTCAGTGGAAAAGCCAGAGGAGAGGCAGTCGGACCGTTGAGTGAGAGAGGAGACCAATGTGGCGGACGGTGGACGAGAGAGTTTGGTTTGACCCCCCAGGCCTCACACTGCTGGGACCGGAGTGCTGGGCAAGGGAGAGTCTCAGGCACAGCACACACCACCCGGGGGCTTCAGGATGCTCGTCACCTCCTTCTCTCCGCGCTCACCAGCCCAAACCGGCTGGCCCGTTCCCCACTCAGGCCGCACGCCA